CATAGACTATAGTACTGATTTATTATTCATATTAATTCTGTTTGACCATAATTAAAACATTATTTTTTTTAAAGAGTTAGCATAGACTATAGTACTGATTTATTATTCATATTATTTTTGTTTGACCATAATTAAAACACTATTTTTTTAAAGAGTTAGCATAGACTATAGTACTGATTTATTATTCATATTATTTCCGTTTGACCATAATTAAAACATTATTTTCACGGTATTTTCATTTAGATTGGTCCGACTCTTAATTTATTATTTTTGAAAAAAAAATATTCAAAGTGAAGTTATATTTTTATTTTTAAATGCATATTTAGTATTCGATTACTGCTTGATATGATTAGAGTATTATATATATTTTGATGACATAAATATAAATGAGAAATAGTAAGTCCACAAAATAAGGACAATTGACTAAATAATTTGGGCAATAAATAAGAGTCTAATCAAAATAGATATATTAAACTCAGTCTAATTTAAATAAATACTTTATTTAATAAAGTTCAAATATATTAAAATCACATAATACTACCTAAGTTTTAACTGTTTTTCCTCTATGACTTTTATTTAATAATAAAAAGTGAAACACTGCATGTGTCGGTCACGATATGTTTTATTCTGATTTTTTTGAACTATATGTTATATTCTTTTTTTATAACAACCTTTCATTTCACACTGCACTTTTTATTGCTAAAATTCCTAATAAAATATATTACGTTCTTTTGTAAAATATCTCTTTTTCTTTATTCTTTTATTCCTTTCTTATTTATGTACCCACTCTAATTTTAGAGTCGGTGAATTCTATTTTTTATATTACCTCAAAATTCAAAATCGATGCATTTTATGACATATAATTGTGAATTTGACTAATTATATTTACATTAATGTAGTTTGTTCGTAAAAGTATATATAATTTGTTTGGTCAAATATGTGTTTATGTGAAATAAAATATAGAATTAAAGGGTATTGAATATAACAAACACAAGTATATTTGACTATAATTAATGAATAATTCATAAACTGTCTGCTATAAATAGACGAAGTAATGCATTATTCTTTTTTCTCATCACAGGGTTGTTGACAATAATGGGGTCTCTTGGAGTGGAATTTATTTCTCCAAATGAAAATTTGGAATTGAAATTTGATTCAAGTGCTTTGCCTCCATTTAAGTTATCTGAAATAAGAGCTGCAATTCCAAAGCATTGTTGGATTAAAAATCCATGGAAATCTTTAAGTTATGTACTTAGAGATGTTGTCATTGTTTTTGCTTTGGTAACAATGGCTATTTACTTTGATAATTGGAAATTTTGGCCAATTTATTGGGTTTTACAAGGCACTATGTTTTGGGCAATCTTTGTTCTTGGTCATGATTGGTAAGTTCAATTAACATTATTATTTTCTTTAATAATTGACTTGATGTGTAATTTTATTTTATTTTTTTTTGTAGTGGTCATGGGAGTTTTTCTGATAGTGCACTATTGAATAGTGTGGTTGGACATATTCTTCATTCTTTTATCCTTGTGCCCTATCATGGATGGTTGGTTTCTCTTTCGATGTATTAAGATTTCGTTATTTTTTAATGATGTTTCGATTGTACTATATGAGTTCGTCGGTGGTTGTTTTCATGACCTTTGGTTGTGTGATGTGACGTGACGTGACGATTATTCTGAATGACTTTTTTTAATGTAAAATACTTTAGACTAAAATTTTATTTTTTTTCCTCGAAAAATAGGAGAATTAGCCACAAAACTCATCATCAAAATCATGGAAATGTTGAAGCTGATGAATCTTGGGTGCCGGTAAATATTTTCCTTAATTAATATAAATATTTAAAAAAAGTATTTTTTTAAAATTTTTTATTATTTTTATTTTATTGCAGATGCCAGAAAAGCTATACAAGGAGTTGGATTATGCAACAAAGCTTTTAAGATTCAAGATACCTTTTCCCTTGATAGCATATCCATTGTATTTGGTAAATAATATTTTTTGATTAAATTTTCAAGTAATTATTTTTTTTTCTTATTTGAATTTGTGTTTTTATAATATTTTATTTTTGGTTATACAGATGAGGAGAAGTCCAGGAAAAAAAGGTTCTCATTTTAATCCATACAGTGATTTGTTTCAAGAAAATGAGAGAAAATTTATTGTTACATCAACATTGTGTTGGACACTCATGGTTGCTCTCCTCTTCTATCTTTCTACCGTCGTTGGCTTTCTCCAACTGCTTAAGCTTTACGGAATTCCCTATATGGTTAGTCGTACAAAACTTTTTTCTTTTTTTAATTCGTCGAAACTTAAGTGTGGTTCCTTATATATTACAAATAATTATAGGAATTTGAATTATTTTTTTTGTTTTGATAGATTTTTGTGATGTGGTTGGATTCTGTCACATATTTGCATCACCATGGTCATGAAGAAAAGCTGCCTTGGTACCGTGGCAAGGTCGGTATATATAACTTAAATTTTTTTTATTTATTTAAAAATTTTCTAATGAATTTTTTTTCTTTTGGGAAATATAGGAGTGGAGTTATCTAAGAGGAGGATTAACTACAGTTGATCGCGATTATGGCGTTTTTAATAATATTCACCATGATATTGGTACTCATGTTATTCACCATCTTTTCCCTCAAATACCACATTATCACCTTGTCGAAGCGGTAAAAATATTTTTTTTTCGTTGGATCATAAAAATTATTTTATTAATTATTTGTTCAATTATTTCACTAATACATTATTATTATTTTTTCTTACAGACAAAAGCAGCAAAGCCAGTATTTGGAAAATATTATAGAGAGCCAAAAAAATCAGGGGCAATTCCATTTCATTTGGTTGAAAATTTAGTGAAAAGCATGAAGAAGGATCATTATGTTAGTGACAATGGAGATATTGTTTATTATCAAACTGATCCTAAGCTTTTTAATGATTCTGGTAAAAAGGATAAGTAACTTTTTTTTTACCAGAATAATTTAAAAAGGAATATATAAAAACTATTTACTAAAATAGTTTTTGTTTTTTTGCAAGAAATATTTCCTTTATTTAGAAAAGTTCAAATTGTTGCAAACAATTTAATAGAATATTAAGAGGATGTTTTGCAGTAAAGTGAAATATATATCCTCTTTTCAATATTTTCCCTGGCTTATTCTTCTTTCAATTTTGTTTTCTTGATTATTTCTATTGTTTTAGGACTTGTATTTCATTACAAAAAGTTTTTTTTTTTTTGGTGTAGTAAAAGAATGAATAAAATTAACTAAGTGATAATAGTTTATATTAGGGGCATGAAAAAATCGAACCTAATGATAAATCGAATCAGTAAAAGTGTTATTGGTTTGTGGTTGTTTGGGTATTAGGTTTAACGGTTTTTAATGGTTTTATAAATAAAATTATTGGGTTATCGGTTTGGTACTGATTTTTAATATTGGTTTATCCAAACCGATAACCCATTAAGACTAGTAGTTTACTACTACTTTTACTTGTACATAAATATTATATATTAATTTCAATATATTACTAGTTACTATATTTGTCCTTTTAACCTTCATTTTACACTTCACAATAACTTTGAGTTCACAATTTTACATTACACAAAACGTTAAAATCTAAAGTAAGAATCTTATTCTTCATAATTTTTCCGTGTTCCACTTGTATAGTTCTTTTCATGTTTATTATTATTGTTTCTATTTTATGAGTATTTGTAAAGTCACATATATATTGTGTTTTCGCATCAAATTTATTATAAAAGTCATATATTCATATTATAAGTATTTTCTTATTAGTTAAATTGAAAATCGAACCGTTAAGGACCAAAACCGAAAAAAAATATATTATTGATTTGGTTATTGGTTGAATATATTTGAAAATCGAAAACTGATAAACTAAATTAATAATACATAAAATCGAATCGAACCTATCACTTTCTTGACTATTATAACTTTCAAGTATATTGTTGCCACATTTTGCTATCAGTATTTGGAATAATTTCGTTTTTAATCAGAAACATCGAATTCAAGGAAATAAACATTTTCGTCTTAAATAAATCTTATGTGGGGCAACCCGAATTAGTCGGAGCATCAATACTAGTTCCAAACACAAAAAACACAACATAGCAAGCTGAATCTACTTTTGATATGCTATTAGATCTCCTAATGATGGTGTTTTCTTTCATTGGATTCTCACATCAATAAAGCTTGTTTGGATCCCCACTTGACCCTAGAAAGAACTGTATAGATGTTTTCTGATTGCTAGTATATGTTTGATAGACCCCAAACATGGGGACTTATCGGGTAAATTCAATATAATAGACGTTTGTTGGTATTCGAGCCTTCGTTTCCTATCAGGACATATCAGAAAGAGAATCCAATACTTCTTGATCGTAAATATCTAAACTGGTTGTTTTTGTTTAGGCGGTTTATACCACGCCGCCTTATGAGTTGTGATTGACTAAAGAGGAACATAAGTTGTATGTATACCAACAGAGCTAGCCTGCACGCACCTCAATTATTCCATCCCATCCCATTAGGTATCTGCTACTCCCCACCGAAATAGAAACCAGGTAATTACATCAAGGTATCGACTACAAAATATCGATTTCAAACCCGAATCGACTCATCAGAAAAAGACTTGTAATTCACAAAGATTCAACAACAATCACAACACAAAATGGAACTTGAAAAATCTAGTTTACTTGTAGAGTATATACTGTACAAACTACAAAGCCTAAAATGGAAATGATCTTTTGCAACACAAGTTTCATCCACAAGGAGAGAGCTTAGTGACATTATTACAAACTCCTAAAATGTAAACAAACATCATCTGAGGACATCCAAAAATACGAAAGCTCAAGAAGCACACAACAATTAAAAAAAACCTCAGATAAACTCAAAGCGCATGAGTAGCCTCGCGGAATTATATATCTCACCTTTTCTGTTACAGAGTGGAACTGCATGTATACCAGGTTTCAGCTCCGAAACAGGTATACATGTTTGGCCAGCAAAATCGTCCTTCTCTGACATGTCGTATTCATGTACTTCAATTCGTAGCAAAGCTAATTCGGGTACAGTCAGTGGGAAGGTAAATTCTTCATCCCAAACAGGCGTCCATTTGTCCTCTTTAGTCTTTGTTTTCTTCATTACCTCATCAGCAGGTACTCCAGCTATCCCGACCTATAAACAAAGGCGGATTCATGATTAAAATTTGATGCCTTCAAACTTTAAGGGTGTGTTCGGTATGAAGGGACATGTTTTCCGAAAAATGTTTTCTAGAAAATAAGTGTGTTTTCTTGTGTTTGGTAGGTAAGCAATAATTATTATCCTAAAAGCATTTGTATACAATTTAAATAAATACTGTGAGAGGTGGGCGGGGGAGGTAGGGGTGTCAGATGGAGGAGATGAGGGCTATGGGGAGTGGGGTAAAGATGAACTGAGTTGGAGGGTGGGAAGGACAGAATCGAGGTAGAATATCGTTAGTGGGGCTTGTTTTCCTTCCCTTCATTAGGGAACTCGTTTTCCTCATTTTTAAGAAACAATGGTGCCTATGAAAGAACAGTCAGCTTACCCTTGTGTAGAAATCCGGAGGCGAATACAAATCAAAGTGAGTTTGCTTAAAATCTAAATGCCATCCATCTCCCATATATACTTTCACCTGTCCAATAATGAGAACATAAGTACTCGCACACATTAAATGATGTTGTATTCAGAGTCATTTGATTACCTTTAAGGTTTTCTTAACTGGCAACTTTGCTTTAGGATCAAAAACTTCATTATTAGGACCAATACTCAGTAAGAAATCAGGCTTTTTAACATAACCACAGCCTCCATTTGCCCTGAACATCCCATGCATTAACCATAGTGCTCTACCGTACCCCTGTCACAGTCATTAATACACGATTTTCTTCAGTAAGATTTATAAATATCTGTTCAAATGTGATAAGATGACAGCAAGTTTGCAATAGCATACATTCATAAAAAGGATTAGTGAAGATAGAATCACTAGCATGAGCCGTTTAGGAATCAAAGAAACAATACAGTAAATCAGAAAGGGGTGAAGAATACATATGAAACTAGATGGAATATCAAACGAGCATATATCTGATAAGAAGCACAACTGACTTGACACAGATTTTGCAGTTCCTTGCTCTATCAAGTGCTATCTAAGTGTGGTTAAGAATTCACAAAATGCAATTTAAGGAACCAAAGCTTCATTTCATATGCCTATATAGCACTAAATGCAGAAAAGCAGAGTGACGAGCTTAACATATATCAAGAATAGTGTTATCAAAAGCAAAAAGCACAAAAAAGCTCTAAGGTCCGTTTGGGCTTTGAGCGCAAATGAAGTGTGGGCTTTAATTAAAAAAAGAGCGAAGGTAGAAAAAACATAAATATATATGTTTAGTCCAAGACAAACAATTATAAGGATGAATGACCAAAATATGGACAAAGAAATTGAACTTTTTCAACAATAAAGTGAAATTTCAATTGTTAGTGTCAGAAGCTCATTGGCAAGAAAGAGTATGCCTTAGAACCTTGATGACGAGACAGAAGTGCACATTAAGCAAGGCGAAGCGCTCAACATGTTTTGAGCCTCTCTTCCATGCTTAAGCACACTTTAAGCGCACCTTTGACAACACTGATCAATAATCAGCATTATTTTAACGAAATGAGATGTTATTGAACAAATAGTAAAAAGCATCAACCACAAAAAAGACATGGTATCATGTGAGCAAATGAAAACTCAACCAAACCTGCATGTTAAATGCAACCATCTGAGCTCCATGCATCCAACCTATTAGTGGCTTGTAGTTGGAGGAGTTAAATCTAGTACCTTTGGGGTACACCCTTAGAATGTTTCTTTGCGTGAACCTAGAAAAAAATTCAGCACACAATTAGGATATAAATCCATGACAACTCTACTGACAGTTTAAAGCTACCTCAACTGTCTTTGCTTTGTTATGCTGAAATACAAACCTCACAATATCGGTTCCATGAGATTCAGCAGCCTTTTCAAGAGCCTGTTCACTTAAACTTAGGCGTCTTACTTTATCAGGATCGATTTTCAATGCCTCCTTTAACCCACCTTTAGGTTTGCCAGCATGGATGGCAATAAGGCGTTTATAAGCAGATGCCACATGTCCTCTGTGAGTGGCGTCATCGTCATCTTCATAACTTTTATCACTATCGCTCTGCAGAAAATTAAGGCAAATCATGACTATCATAAGTAGTTGCATGTTAGGTCATACAAGGAGAATAGGTTGACGAATTCCACTTCCAGAAGACCTTTTCATTTTCTTCTTGATCAGCTGTCAAGCTAGAAGGCTCGGAACCCCATACATCATCCTCGGAATCCTTTGACCTCTGAGAGCTATTTCGTCTGTCTTTACAAACACTAGCACTGGCTTCAAGGTACTCTTTTGGAGGTTTGGTTGAAATAATAATACGATGCTTTAGTTCTTCTGGTGAAGGGCACTCCTTTAGACTATCAGATTCAGGAACAAAGAGCATTTCTCCAAATGTTTCAGTAAGCATCTACAAGCAAAGCATTTGAAAGGAACATCTCAATAACCAATAAAAGGAGGAACGACACAACTGAAGAAAGAAGGCATAGAAGCAAGTAATAGAAACTCACCTGAGCCACTTTAGCTTGAAGATCAGGCGTTAGATGATCTTCCAGTGTTATTACAACAGGGTAAGGAGAAGCAGAGAATGCATGTTCTTTTATTGACTTGAGACATCTTATTAATTCCACAGGGGTTGTCACTGTCCTACATTTTGCAAAAAAGCAACTTACAAAAAAATTTCACGCGAAGTAATCAAGAAAATTAGTAAATGTAAATGCTGCAATCTCTAATAGATTACAACCAACAAGAGCCATCTTATCGTCCCTTATTTTTGTCCTTAATTAAAGATTTGGAACAGAAGTGCTAAGTGCGGGAAGTTCGCACAAGTCATGTTAGAAATTTTATGATCTCCATGCACATTCAACTCCAAAACTCCAATCTTAAGCACAACACCAATTGAGAGCTTCATCTTTTGAGCTCAAGAACAGTAAAACTCTAAAAGACGAGTAATTTTACACTTCAACTCATTGTAGTAACTCTAAACTTAAAATATTAATTTCAATACTTGAATGAAAA